TTTTTTGGGTCTTTAATGAACCTTATGGTCCCTCCATTGGTTACATGTATTTCTCAAGTTAACTAAAAATAAACGCCATATTTAATGTAGCGGAAAATTCTCCACTTTAGAAAATGATTGGTGTGATTTATTAAAAATATTTGTTTCTAATAATATTCTTTTTATTTAATTCCAGCCTCGCATTTGGGACGTCGGGTTTGATGAGGTCAAGCCACATATGTTTTATCATCCGGACAATAGTTTAAATTCTACTTCTTGTAAAATTGTTCAAAAAAAAATAATAATAATAATTGCAGCCTCTTCTCTCTCTGTTTATCGCTGCAGATCGCTATTACTTTTAGCCCCTCAACCCTGTTCGCCACGTTCATGTCCTTTCCTTCCCTCATCTTATTCCTCCCCCTCTGGGTTTCTCTAATGTCGCCCGCCTGCTCCCTCACATGCACGTCGGAAAAGCTGCCGGACAGCAAGAAGACGTTTGTCAACTGTACCGATCTCCCCACTCTCAACGCCACCCTTCACTATACCTACTACGCCTTCAACACCACCCTCTCCGTCGCGTTCGTGGCAGCTCCGCCCTCCCCGGAGGGTTGGACTGCGTGGGCCATCAACCCAATTGCGACGGGCATGGAGGGGGCCCAGGCACTGCTTGCGCACAAATCTAACGGTTCTCTGCTCGTCAAGAAATATAACATCAGCTCCTACTTCTCGATCGAGGAGACAGACAAGCTGGCGTTTGATGTCTGGGACCTAAAAGTGGAGTCCGGAGCAAGCGGGAAGTACGTGATTTACGCGTCTTTGCAAGTTCCATGGAGTGTGGAGGAGCTGAACCATGTGTGGCAGGTGGGCGCCAGTGCCACTAACGGGCGGCCGGAGAGGCATGAATTAGCTGCAGAAAATTTGGCTTCAAAAGAGACGTTGCAGTTGGTGGGGCAAGAGACCGTTACTTGGCCTACAAGTCCACCGCCGGCACCGACTGACGGCACCAATAGTGGGTCGAGGAGGGATGTTTTTATTTGTTCCTTGGTGGGTTTGCTTTGGTTTTCACTTCAATTGTGCTCTGAATTTGCGGAGATGATTTAATTTTATGCATAATGAATTTAGTTAGTTATGTAGTAATTGTAGGAGATTTGATGTTCTTCTTCTTTCCCTTTGGTTTTCTAAATAATTTCAGATGGAAAAACGGAAAATATATAAACAACCTTTAAGAAAACTAATTTTTACAAATTCCTTTGGTATAATAACTAAGCACCCTTCAATCTATTCTTGAAGTAAATAAGCTCGCTTTCCATGATGTTATGGTTAAAAGGTCCAAGCACATAGTGACCAATCAAAATTTTCCTTTTTATTGTCTTGTTGGCTATTAGATATGAACAAAATAAAACAAGAAAACAGAGAACATAAAAAGAAAGAAAACAAAGACCACTAGAAGAAGCCACAAAAGAAGCCACAAAATAAGCCAATAGACCACTCAAGGTGGTCAACGAACAAAGGAGGATGATCGGCTAGCTCCACCATGTTCGAGAAATCGAAGGGCTTCTAAGCACCAAAAAAAATAGAGAAACTCTGGGAAGGTTCTAGTCAAAAGCAGGAGGATTCTAGGGTAATTAATTTTTTTTATTTAAGATTCACTCATAATTATGTATATATATTTTTACTCATTTAATAACAGTTTATGATTATAAATTTATAATTTTATATGGGTATTCTAACTATAATATTATATTTTTACATAGATGAGTTTTGAATTACAATTCTAGATGTTATTGTAATTAAAAAGGTACAAGCAGTCATATATTTTGGGTGAGTCACACTTAGGGCTTATTGAGTTCTCTAAGAAATTATTTTGAACATGAAAATTTTAGGAGAAGCATCCAACAAAAGGTATAGATTTTTTCTTAAAATTGCGTGTTGAAGCAAACTTTTATTCAAAAAAAATATTAATGTAATTTGTCATTCTAAATTTTTATTTTTAAGGATCAATCTAAATATATTAGTTATAGTTAACTTTTCATTAAATTTTAAAATAATTAGTTAATAAAAATTGTTAAATTTAAGCTAATTTTTTAAAAATAAAAATTTTAAATGATAAATTATATTAATATTTTTTAAATAATAATTTACTTTAACATAATAATTTTAAAAGACAATTCGCACATTTTACTTATCATATCCATTTGAAATTTTTTTTAAATGTGTAGTGTTAATGTAGATATTCACATTTAAAATTATTTGAAGAGGGCTACCCACACCTTGACCCTCTAAAAAGAAGACCACGAGTTGTGGCCGCACCATGTATTTGATAACATGCAATATTGCATATTAAAATAATGCTGTTCTTCTCTCCACCGTTAGGGGATGATTAAAAAGGAAAAAATTATTAGAATAGACAAGTAGCATAAAGTTACCTAAAACCTTAAAGATTAGATCTATGAAGATATAAATATTATCTTTTAAATTAAATTTAAAGTTCAAATATTACGGTTAACACTTGAAAAATTAATTTTTTTTATTGAACTAAGAATGTGAACTAATACTATCTTTAAAGTCATGCAAAAAAATTAATTTTAAAAAACATAAAAAAAACTTATCTAAAAATTTATTAGTGCGTAGAGGAATGTGATATATTTTCCCTTAATTACATATGAAGTGGGATGTTACGTTCCTCTTGTAATTAATATGACTTCTTATCATTCCCTACCATTTCGCTTTAGGAAAGTAAATAAGTCCAAATTGGGCACAAAACTAGAATCCGAGAAGAGGGCAGACTGCTCCAGTTTCTTTGTGAATCGGTTGTAGAGCTCATCAATGATCTCTCCTCCAAAATGGTCTCGCACTACCTCCTCAGAAGCAGCTCTTATAACCAATGCAAGCTTCTCGATGATTGGCATGAGGCGATCCTGCTGTTGCATCTTCTCAATCTTGAAGGACCCATTTCTCTCCACTATGATTAACTGGAGGACCATAAAGCAAGCTGTCAAGGGGCCTGAGGAGATAATTCTGGGTCCGAAGCGCTAATTAGATTAACGTTTTGAATACAATCAGTCGCCCATTAAGTAGATGCATTGGATGCTGGAATGGCCCAATAGGAAGGGAAAGGGCCTATTAATTGCATTTTTTGAGCCATTCGGTTCGTGGAGATTTTTTGGGCCAAGGGCCCATCCCAGATGCGGCCGGAACTGGGGGAGCCCAATAAGCATATTTTGAGCAAGTCTGGGCCCACTAAAGAAGTAATCTGGGCCTCTAAGGCTGATCAACGAAATATTTGGCCGATTAAGATTGTTTGGGCCAAAATTTTGGGCCAATCAAAGTGATGTTGGGCCTAAATGGGGGCGCAGTAAAAATGTTGGGCCCCAGAATTGGCCCATTAAGCTTGTTTGGGCTGAAATTTGAGGCCCAATCAAAGTGTAGTGGCCTCAATTCTGGCCCATTAATCTTGTTTGGGCTGCAATTTGAGGCCCAATAAAGTAAAGTTGGGCTCCTCTCTGCCCCTTAATCTTGGTTTGGGGCCCAAACTTTAGCATAATTAGTAAATAAATACGAGACCAATTAGTCCATTAACAAAATGTGAAGACCCAATTATTGCCCGCTTAGCACAACATCAGGCTGAGTTGCGTAATAAATTGAAGATGTTTGGGTCAGTCGTGTAGCCCTTTAAAAAGACTAGCCTGGGCTTTATTGTAACTCCTTAAGCATATGTTTGGGCTGATGCAACCGATGAGACGAATGCCCCTCAATATATAAATTTCACTCTTTCGGATGCCGGTTCAAGTTACCGCTCGGAAATTTTAAGCGTTTCTTTCTTCTTTTTTTTTTTTCGAACGATTTTATGCACAAAAACGTCACCAAGAGAAAACAATTATTCTTTTACTCGGCAAAAACAACTTACTTAATCCCAGGCAACCACGCTAAAAACATGGAAGCCAATCAGAATACTAGTAATCTCTATCTCGAGATATGTAATAAACCTAACATATCGTCAAGCATCTAAAACAAGTTACTTAGGCAGAAACAATACAATTAAAAGTAAAATTCATAGCACACTACTAACCTAACTCCAAAAATTTTTTTAAACTAAATAAAAATTTAAATAAAAAGCAAAAATTAATAACCATTTACAAATTGGAAGATTATAAAACAATACTAAACCAAACAACTACTAGCACCATCGCATTTCCGGAGCTCCAAGCATCAAATGAAAATCATCTTCTTCACCAGGGTCATGGCCCAACAGACAGTCCCAGAAAATGGCTCACAACCATCAACAAAGTATGAGGCAGCAACATGTTCAGAAATAGAGTGGATAAACCGATAAAGTACTAAATTACGTGTGATTAAACTCAGAGGCAGACAATCTAATACCTTCTAGTACTTATTGAGGAAAGTTGTCCATGCCAGAAGTATGCTAGCACATGCAATTGCAAAACAAAATATGTATGCATTTAAACATAAATGAAAAAACATAGTATGTCAAAGACACCTGAGTATAACACCGACTAGCACAGGCTCCTTCAGAAGCTTATATGCATCCACATACCCTTGCAAATACAGTATATGAGACTCATCTAAAATGTAAAACAGCTTATATGTCAAGCCCCAAGATTAATAAAAAGCTAACCCAAGATAATGAACAGTTGTGCATTAGAACAGATCATAAATTTGCAAACCTTCTTCCAAGTAATGAAGAGCCAGATCACTCCCATATTAAGACACACTGCCATTTACTGTGGTTCACCTGTTGAAACCTTGGTTATATTCATTCTAAGAGCTATTACTACCAGAAAACCAAAAAAAAAAAAAAAAAAGGATGCCTAATTAAAACAGAAAATTGAAAAGTGGCTCTAAAAATTCTAACTACCTACTAAGATAAATAGTAGCAATTCACTATTTAACAACACCAAAAGAAGCCAATGAAAAGACACTCAGTTCTAAAATAGAGAGAAAATCATTCCAACATTTAAGAATGAAAATGTTATGTATGGCAAGATCATTGGACGTACCTTGGACATGGGCACCTACAACTTAAAACCACATTCCAAATTTCCCAGAAGTTTAATCGAAAGTAAATTCTATTTTCCCTCCCTATTTACTTTTAGGAAGATCAACTTCATTACAAAGTTATGAAGAGAACTTGCTGGTACAAATATTTCATCTTAGCAAGCAATAATTAAAGAAGTGCAAGGCACACCTAGACACTAAGGGCACACCAGCATAAGGCACAAAATTAAAGGAAAAAAAAAAAAAAAAAACTAGAAAGCAACAAATAGATAAAACATAGCTTAAAAAAGGGCATAGATAGATAAAACAAGGCCCTAAGAGCAATATAAAAAATTTCAATTAAAATTAAATTTGAAGTTTGAAGTAGTTAGTCTATCAAATGAGACTGTTCAGACTTTAGATAAGAAAGATTTTAGGTGGCTGTAGCTAGATAGAATTAGGTCTGAACTGAATCTGATTGCAGATTTAGGTTTTTCGCCTTCTTTTTCTATTTTTATTAGTTTTTTCTTCAAACAAACTTATTCACGTGTGGGCAGGTCCACCACAACTAACATTTTTAACAAGGTTGATAAAAATTCATCATCATTAAAATATTCTTGAAATCTAAAACACACAAAACAGATTTCTATTTGTTTTTTATTTTATTTTTTAAATAAAAACAGAAGAAAATGAGCATAAAAATAAGATGCAAAAAATTCAAAAATCAAGGTAATACCAAAAAGAACCCAAGTTTCTAATGAGATTAGAATACCTGTCATGTAGTTAATGGTAGATTTGCTAAGGAAAATATTGCAATCCCTGCTATTTTCAACAATCATAACCCTACACTGTGGCAACATAACACAAGGAGACAATACCAAGATTACTAACAAAGAAATAACTCTTCAACTGACTAACACTTCACTAAACCAATTGGTCCATCGCATTCCTACAACCCAATTTCATAAAGTCCAAATTTCCTAAATATGTAATAGCATAGAATACCATGTGCAGTTCCATTATCCACAAACACCATTCTCACCATAAAGTTCTCAACCTACATTGTAGAAACAAGTAGGTTATTTGTTATCCATTGAGTGGTTATATCATCTCTGAAACTCAGATGATTAAATCTTACAATGCACCGACATTACTCAACATATATGTCATCCTTGAGTGGTTATTTATATCGTTGTTTGAAATGATGAGTTTCTGTAAAATTAAATACAGAACAAACTCCACGCCACAAGCACAAATTGAATTGTACAATTCAAGATAAAAGAAAAAAAATGAAAAAAAAAAATGAATAACATATCTTGAATATTAATGCTTTGGACCAGAAGATCATCTGGCTCCCACATGGTTCATCTCCGTAAGCAGGGTGAAAGGCATAAATACAAGAAATCAATGAAACTCATTCGTAGTAATCAAATTAAGACATTAACTAATTGAATAATCTTTAAATAATTAATTAATTAATATGTTAAGGGCTTTATTCTTCCAACAAAAAAGTCAAGTAAACATTAATTAAGACAAACATGTTAAGGGCTTAGTTCTACCCACATAAAAATCAAGTAAACATAAAGAATATTGAAGAGTTAGAAAATCTAAATTTCGGTAAATGTACTTAAAATTCAAAAGAATCTGCACTAAAGCATTGATAAAAGGCAATGAAAATTCAGATTTAATATTAATCCACAATTCAGAAGCATACAATCAAGCAGATTTTGTATTAAAGGATATTTTAATTTTAAGCAGGAACACATTAACCAAACATGTCCTCAACAGCATTATGCAAACAGAGAACATTCCCGTATATCATCAATTCTGATATTTACAAATAGAAGAGAGTTAGATAATCTAAGTTTTAGTATATGTAGTTAAAATTCAAAAGAACCTGCAGTAAGACAGAATTAACAATGAAAGGTCAGATAAGATTATATCAATCTACAATTCAGACACATACTTTAACTCACATATAGACTCAAATTAACAGTACACCTACCAACCAAACAGATTTTTTTATGAAGGACTGTTAAGTACTAAGCATAAACAAATTAACCAAAAATGTCCCAAAGGGTGTTATGTAAACAGAGAACATTCCCATACACCATCGGTTCTGATATTTCTAAATATGTTTCTGTATTCCAATCCCCCTGCTCCACCATTTTTGAAAGATATTTTCAATTAAGCAATCAACAAATACTACCACACATTTGTAATGCCACTTTTGACAACCTTCAATTTAAACTAATTAAAACTTATATCGTATCAGGTTAATTCTTAATGTGCAACTTGCTGGCGTTGACCAAATTTTATTTCATTCAATTTATTTATTTCCATATAGCCAGAGTTGATTACTAAACTAAACAGAATATTTAGCAAGAACAAATTAAATTAGCAAAAAAAACTAAGAAAACAAACATTAAATAATCGTTGTAATCCAACATTTTCTAGACCGCTACTGCGTTAAACAACTTGAATTCATAGGCAGAAATTGTTACATCATTATCACAGAGAAATATACTCAGATCAGAAGTTGCAAACCAAATCATCATGACCATGGAATTCCATATGCATATCACCCTAACCCTAACCCTAACCCTAACCCTAAGGTGATAATTTTCATGACCGGAGCAAGACCAAGCAAGTTCAAATCATCATAACCGTACGAATTCCATTTGCATATCACCGTAAACCTAAACCTAACATGAGAGGGAAGAAGCACTATGCAAGACCAAATCATCATGACCATAGGAATTGCATGTTCATATCACCCTAACCCTAAGATGATTTGAGATGAGATGGAAAGAAATTTTACCTGACGCTGAAGACTACACGGTAAACCTCCATTCCGTGAGAAGGTGAATTTTCCGACGGCCTGCAAATTGAAGCTCCCTCCTATCCTCCAATTCGCGTCCATCTCAGATCTCGATCTGAGAATGTACACGCCAATAGGAAGATAGGAGCCAAAACATAGTGGTTCCGCCATTGTAAGGGGCCGCTTTCTCAAAATATCTGAATCGAATGACACCACCTAAGATCTCGATCAGAGATGGACACGCC